GCTCTGAAGTGACAAAATAAAAAAAATAAAATTCGTAAATGAGTACTGTTGTGAAAATTGTGAATAACTCATCAAGTATTAACTGTACCTTCGTGAAAATTAATATCCAAGTAGATTTTAACCTGCTGAACAACTTACAATTAATATAAGAAGTTGATTTACTTTGGCTAAAGATCTTAAAATACGCTCTAAAGGTAAAAAATTTTGTAACTTAATACTACAGTATTATATAAAAAATGTAAATAATTCCAAAAATATTAACTGTACTTTTATGATCTTAACAGTTTTAAACTTACTAAACTACTTTTAATTAAAAGAATAAGATTTACTTCAGCTAAAATGCTCAAACTATACTTTGAAATATATGTAAAAAAAATATAATATTTGTTTATATTTTAAATTATGAGTTATTTAATTTAAATGTATTTATATTTAAGAAAAAAAATATTTTAATTCTATTTTATAAAGTATTTAAAAAGTATTTTAGTAAAGTTTTTGAGGCAAAAAAATAATTATAAATGAAATAAAAAAAAAATCTAAGTTAATAAATAAATATTAAACCGTAATACATAATCACATGTTATATATTAAAATCAGAAATTTTAATTTAAAATCGAAAAATCCTATTACAAATAACCAAAAATTGGCAATTTCATGTTAAAAATCAGAAATATTATATTAAAATCAGAAATATTTATTAAAATCAGAAATATTATATTAAAATTGCCAAAAAAATCAGACAGCTATATTAAAAAGGGCAAAAATCTGATTTTTATTTATTTGACCTGTGTATATCTGTAGAAAATACGTTATAAACGTATGAATTTTAATATACTGTAGAATAATACGTATACCGTATCCTTCATTTACAATATTTTTGTGAACCGTATACAAAATACTGATATACAGTAGAAATGATATACGTTATGGACATATAAATTTAATATACCGTATCACATAATATGTTTACCGTATACTTTATTGTATTTTTTACTAAACACATTTTACAAACAGTATACATTATACTGATATGCCGTATGTAAAAATGCGAACTGTATCAAAAATACGTATACAGTCAGAACTCGATATACCGATATTTGATATACCGATACATTATTAAAAACTTGATATACCGATAAAATTTTACATTCTCACTATATGTGAGGACATATAAATATCGGTATAATTTGATATAACGATATTTTTTAAATTTTTTCTTATGAGTCCTGACATATCGTTATATAAAGGTTTGACTGTATACAGTATAAAAACCGTATACATATTTTTTATAGGGATGAATTTTATAAATTTTACAATTTTGTATAAATAAACTTAAAAATCTTAAAAATATTATAATTCTGCTAATATCAATCTAATAGACTTAAGCTTACCACCATTTGAATTGTCTCACTGAGATGGATTAAAAGAACTATAAATCATAAAATTTCAATCACAGAATCAGAAATTATTGTATGTAACATTTAGGCTTTTAGAGCGTAATCATGTGATAAATATTGATTCTATTAATATTAAATTATTACCATCTAAATTCTCTTAGTGAAACAAATCTGATAAATTTAAATTACAAAAATCTAATCACTAGATCTCAAAATAACTTTAATATACAATTTTAAATTTTAAAATTTATGAATTTTGCAAACTCAAAAAATTTACAAATTTATATAGTACAGTCAGACCTCTATAATTGCACTTTCCATAATTGCATCCACTATGTATATCCTCTCTAAATACACCCTCTGGTTTAGTTCTAAGTTTGTATGATCTCTGATTATTTTACCTCTATAAATGCATACCCCCTTTAAATGCACTATTTTGAAAATTATGCATATGGTCCCAAGGGGTGTGCAATTATGAAGATCTGACTGTATTATATTTACATAATGTCTGCCATATTATGATATAATACTTTTTTAACATTATACTTGCATACCTTATTAAATTTTCTGATAAAGCTATTTGAAAAGTACTATATTAAAGATATATTAAAAGGTATTTTTTCAAAATATTATAAAAAATAGGTATTGCTAAATATCACCAGTAGTGATTGTTATTATATATAAAAATATTTTTTAAATTTCAAAATTTTTGACTGAAATATTATTCTAATTATAATATAAATATTACTATTATATGTAAATTTATGAATAAAACAAGTTTTCCTTAAATTATAAAAGCTATTATTTAGATATTTTTTAAGAAAAACAGGAAAGTTTAATTTTGTAAGTAAAATACAATTTTTTGTTTTAAAAAGGATTTTTTTTAGTCAAATTTTCGAAATTTTAATGTAATTAGTATTTATTCAGGTTTGTTTTACATATTTATTATTTAAATTGAAATTTTTGAAAAAAAAATTTATAATATATTTTTTAACTTTACCCAAAATTATAATTTTTGGCCAGAATTTATTAAGTGGTATAATAATAATCACTACTGGTGATATTTAGCAATATTCATAAAAAATTTATTAATAGTATATCTTATGAAATTGGCAAGTTATTTTTGCAAATGAAAATAGAATTTATTATTAAAATCTTATAATGAATTTATTTAATTTAAATATTTATTATTGTTATATTATATATATATAAGTTTTTTCAATTGAAAAGTGGCTAGATAATTCTGATTGCTCTTTGTAATTAAATATATTTAAGCAAATGGACTCAAACCTTATTATAAACATATTTTTTAAAATTTAAAAAATTTTAATACTTATTAAATTATAATAAAACTTCGGATATTTTTAAAACAAATTATAAGTTATATTTTTTAAATTTAATAGTTGCTAGTATACTAAATATGATTTGTCTGATATAATATTACTGATTCTTATAAATTAGAAAGAAAGGTACCTTTAAACTGATTACATATCTCCTGAGATATATCTTAATTAAGGTAGCCAACACTGGTCAAAATCAATACTATCGGGTACATATCGGGTATCTGATATGTGTATAATATATGTGATATATGTGTATGATATTTAACAATACTACACATATCAGGTACCCGATATGTGTAGTAGAAATGTAGAAAATCGGTGACATATACTGTAAACATCATATATACATCTTACACATATCGGGTAGTCAAATATCGGTGACATATCTTGTAAACATCATGTATATATCTTATACATATCGGGTAGTCAAATATTGGTGACATATCTTGTAAACATCACGTATATATCTTATACATATCGGGTAGTCAAATATCAGTGATATATATTATAGATATCATATATTTAACACACATATATCGGGTAGTAATACATCAGTTAGTAGCTATAAATTTCATATTAAAACTAATAGATATATATCTCTTTTTTTTATTTTAATTCAGATAAAATGAAATTCAACTTTATTAAAATTTAAACAATAATACAAGTCTTACTCTATCTACTACATACGTAAAATCAAATAAAGTTGAACATTAAAAATAAATAATTATACTATGTAATATGTAAAGTTCTACTGAAAGTAGCAATGATAATAAAATTATCTGTTTAACATTTAAAAGAAATATTAGTGAAAATATTAGTAAGTATATTAATTAATAAGAGAAATAAAAATAGAAATGTTAATAAAAACGTTAGTGGTAAATATAGAAAATGTTAGTAAAAATGTTAGTAGAAAGAAAGAAAAGTTAGTAAAATAGAAAATATTAATACGAGAATGTTAATAAAAACATGTTAGTAGTATTTAATATTAATAGAAAATGTTAATAAGTGGTAAAAAACATTAGTGAGAGAAAAGAAAAAAAGTATTAGAACGTCAATAGAAAATGTATATATAAAAGAAAAAAACAAGCATAATGAAAATATACCTTTATGTTTATTTCTAATATAAAAATAAATAAAAAAATATAATAATATTATTATTTCATAATAACTAAGTAAAGAGTTTGTTTTAAATAAAAAGTTTAAGAGAAAGGTTTTTACGAAAGGAAAAAAAAAAATAAACAAAGTGCGAAATATAAATACTGAAATCATGTGATCAATCGCTTGATTACAACAACAAATTCTGATTGAACCATGGATTTTAACCCCAACATATCAATCCGGGTTATTATAATTTATAAAATGCATTTATACATTTATACTAGAATTACACTGCAAGTTAAACTCTTTATTGCTTTAAATAATACAAAACCCTACTTAAATATACCAATTAGTCACATATCGGGTACCTATCGGTAACCTATCATGCATATACCAGTCAACAAGTTAAATCACTGATTTTTCGTAATATCACAATAATAAATATTAATTTAGAATCTTCTTCATCCACTCAACTTACAGTTTGTATTATTATCCAAGAATCCATGTCCCTAATAAAAATGATAAAAAAAAGAAACATTATTAACGTCTTTACATGAAGAAATATAAAAAAACAACTTCCTCTTTTAGAAATACTCACCGGTCTCCATTTCCAAGTTCCAGGCTAAAATCTACAAAAAAAAGAAGTAAAGGAACGTTAATAAACGTTCTTACATAAAGAAAAATTAAAAAAATCTGCTTCCTCCCTTTAAAAATACTCACCACTGGTCACCATTTCTGAGTTCCGGGCTAAAATCTACAAAAAAAAGGTAGTAAAAGAACGTTAATAAATGTTCTTACATGAAGAAATATAAAAAAACATTTAGAAATACTCACCGCCATTTTCAAGTTCCGGGCTAAAATCTACAATAAAAGAAGTAAAGGAACGTTAATAAACGTTCTTACATAAAAAAAACCTCCTGCTTTCCTCTTTAAAAACACTTACTGATCCTAATTTCAAGTTCACAGGCCGAAATCTACAAAAAGGGAAAAGTAAAAGAACGTTAATAAACGTTCTTACATATGAAAAACCAAAGAAAAAACTTGCTTCCTCCTTTTAAAAATACTCACCGATCTCCATTTCCAAGTTCCGGCCGAAATCTACAAAAAAAAAGCAGTAAAAGAACGTTAATGAACGTTCTTACATAAAAAAACAAAATTTTTAGACACTTTTTACATTTTTTTCAGTTTTTCTTTTTAGGACTTCTCCCTCTTTTTTTTGGTCTTTCATTTCGGTCTTTTCTTTCTTTCGGTCTTCACTTTTTTTAAGACACTGTCTTCTTTTTATCTTAGTCATTTTTTTTGTCTTTTTAGGACTTTCACTTTTTTTTTGGCCTTTCTTTTAGGACTTACCCGGAATCTACAAAAAAAAAGATGTGTAGATCGGCCAATCAAATATACCGATATACTAAATACCCGATAGCATAAATTTCGACCAGTGAAATGCCCTATAATACAAGAAAATCTGATCCGATCTGAACAGATTCGGATCAAATTTTTTTTTAAATAAAAAAAAAAAATTTTTTTTTTTAAAATACCTTTTCCTGGACGAACGGACGAAGCCGGACGACCAAGATTTAAAAGAACGAACTAGGTAAGTTCGTTTCTTTTTTTTTGTTATTTTTACTTGAGGGAACGTAATTAACGGTTCCCTTCTTTTTTAGTAGGAAGCCTGGACGAACGACGAAACTGAACGATCAGGATTTAAAAAAAGAAACGAACTATGGTAAGTTCGTTTCTTTTTTTTGTTTTTTTTTTTATTTTTACTTAAGGGAACATACTAATTAACGTTCCCTTTCTTTTTTTTAGGAAACCTGGACGTGAGGCGAAACTGAACGATCAGGATTTAAAAAAAGAAACGAACTATGGTAAGTTCGTTTCTTTTTTTTGTTTTTTTTTTTATTTTTACTTAAGGGAACGTACTAATTAACGTTCCCTTTCTTTTTTTTAGGAAACCTGGACGTGAGGCGAAGCTGAACGACCAGGATTTAAAAAAAAGAGCGAACTATGGTAAGTTCGTTTCTTTTTTTTATTTTTTTTTTATTTTTACTTAAGGGAACGTACTAATTAACATTCCCTTTCTTTTTTTTAGGAAACCTGGACGTGAGATGAAGCTGAACGACCAGGATTTAAAAAAAGGAAGGTCTGAATCGATCTGTTAGGAGCACTAGCCCCTAAACAATTCCCTTAATTAAAAAATACAAAAAATAATTTCCCTAACGAACTCTTAGAAATTTCTATCAAATGATACCTTCAATTAAAAAATTCTCAAAAAAATAATTTTCTCAAATAAACCCTTAGAAAATTCTCTATCAAAAAATGCCCTAAACGATCTCCTTAGTTAAAAAATTCTCAAAAAATAATTTTTCCAAACTGACTCAAAAAATTTCTCAAAAAAATCTAAAAAATCTAAACGTTTCTTAAATAAAATCCCTATTAAATATTATTCAAATAGACTTTTATAAAAGTTATCTAAAAAATGAATTTAAATAAAAAATTTTAGTTGAAACGGATTATAAATAATACAGTACGTTATACAAAATAAAAATCTTTAACGTATTAAAATTTACATATCGGGTACCTGACATGTGTAAGATAGATCAATGCCCGATATACATATCAGTGACTAATAGTTTAGATATCGGGTACCCGATATGTAAAAATACCCGATATTTATCCGATTAGCCACCGATATATAGGTACCCAGGACTCCGGATATCTCCAAAACAGGTCATAAGTCACACTTTCGGCAGATTGGCCCATTTTTCAGGGCTCAAAAAATCGTTTTTTGTAAATATCTCGGCATCCAGTAGTCCAATTTTGATGAACTTTTTTTTAAATTGTAGAGCTAAATGAGGGCTACAAAATAAAAAAAAGTTCATTAAAATTGAATTACTGGATGCTGAGATATTTACAAAAAACGATTTTTTGAGTTTTAGCAAAAAGGGGTGTTTTTGGCCAAAAGTCCATTATGACCTTTATATTAGATATCCGGGGTCCTAGGTACCTGATATGTACCCGATAGAATTGATTTTGACCAGTGCAATTAGTACTAATATCTCTAATTGTTATCACCTTTAAGATTTATAGTAGACTTAAGTATTTATTTATATAACCTCTAAATCTATGATAATAAGCAGGTTACTACAGTAATATCTTTAATATATACCATTTGGTTAGCAACTATCTAGCATTTTCTCTCATGGTCATATATTAAGTAGTATAAGTTTACTCAAAGCTATTACAGCTTGTAATTCCCATACATTACCATACACTACAGTTATTAGTACTTCAAGTAGATTGACTTTTATCTGAACAAAACTTAAGAAATATATAGAATCAATAGTTATGAGATTTAATCCAACCTTTCAAATTACCAATCAGTACTATAATAAGTTAGAAATTGAACTTGAATTCTTTATATATCCTAATATTACTTTAATACTTATCATTTCAGGTTAAGCTGATAGTTTTTGTTAAAAATAAAAATATGCAAATATAAATAATTTTTATTTAACTAGGTAAGATCCTTTATATATTTATTTATTAATATAATTTATAAATTATTATTATTACAAATTATTTTTAAAATTAATAAGATCTATTAATTATAATAAATTATTAAACTAAAAGAATAAATTATAATAAAAATTTTTGCATCAACAAATAAAATTTGAAAAATTTCATATAATTTCAAAGCTTCTGAAGTTGATAAAAAATGGTGCTTGAATTCTTGATGAGTCTCCATCTTCGTTAAATTTCTTACCATGTAAACAACGCTTTCGGGCTGATATTGTCCATTATCGGTGAAAAATTGTATGATATAAAATTTGAAGAGTATGTTATCTAATCCATTTATTATATTTTTCGAAAAAACATTCTTTTACCGGTAAAAACAAGTTTAATTCAACTTGATAATCAACTTTACTTATAGAAATCAGGTTAATTAATAAAAAAAAATGGTCATATATGAGTATATTTGCGTAATAATGGTATTAATTTATGGGTGATTAGCAACTTACAATTACTGTACCTTTACAGCTCTAACTACTCATTCAAATAAATTCATACTAATTATTAACACTTATACATAATCTACATGGAGGATATCACTATTTACATTCTGAAGACAATAAATAGTAGGAATTTTTTTAGCTCACTTCTTTAATCAGTCGTGATTTTCCATAACCAGAACCTTGAAATATTGTACAATGCAATTGACTGATACGATTCCAAGTCCGATAAAAATCTTTCATCTGTCTATGATGCTTGCGGATTGCGGACTAAGTGGGACGAACAGAAATATAAATTTAATGAACCAGCAATATACAATAAGATCAAATAATTACTCGTTTCTATTCAAAATCTGTCATTTAATTCATTGTAAAGGTTATATCATAATTATTTGGCGAGTGAGTTGAGTGGGGGGTTCAGTTCGTCGATGTATTTTTAGAAGTGTTTCGGTTGTAAACTGCTTCCGGGCATCCAATAATAATTGATTTAATAACGAGTGGTATTTTTGATTGACACAATACAATTATCCCAAAACGCATTAGATATGATGAGAAGCATGCGTGTCGAAGGCAGGAACCTGTTCAAGCGACATGGGCACATTAACATGTCCAACTTCCACCATAACATACAAAGCATCGTATAATAGGTAGGAGGTAGAATGTGATATGTTGCCCTATTGAGTACAGAATACAGAACATTTGTTCAGTAATGAGTGATCCGGAAAAGAAGTTACTGTTGGAAAACTTACCGATGACCTGAAATCCGAGCATGCACTTCATATTATAAAAATCAATCGCGTCTTTATTAAATACTGCAATTCAGATGAGATTGGTGCAGAGGAGGTTTTTAGACTTTTGCTTCGCCATGTCCTCTACTTCCTCTACTCGAGCCCCAAGACAGTTGATCAATTTCGCTGATGGTACCGGTTAAGAGTGGACAGGCAATATTAACAATATATTGATCCCAAACTCTCATGAAACCACGTAATGATCATGAACATAAGATTAGTGTCATCTTTCCAAGTCTTGTGCTCATGGTTAAGAAATCATCTACAATTCCATTTTTTTTATCTGCATAATCTATATTAAATGCTTTTTCAAGAATTTCTTTATGCATTTACTATGACGCCTGGTGTAGCTCAGCGCGGGCTAATAAAGGTGCCAATATTTCACTTCCACAAAAGTTTTTGCTCTTAATAATTCTTTCGCGTATTATTTTTTTTTATTCAGTGCTTCGACTTTAATCTGTCAATATACCCGCGTAAAAGTAAACGTATATAAGAAAATTTTGAGGCAATAAAATGTTTGTGTAGATTCTAGATGTTGCAGGCTCAGTTCTTGATTATCATTTCCTACTCGGTGATGATGATTTCGTGTTATAAAAGATTCATAAAGTTTCCGATGATGATGATGCCGTGTTTAAGGGAGTTCGTAAAGTATTTGATAATGGTGCAGTTAAAGACGGTATTTTCAGTAATGAATTGAATAGT